GGCGGGTCGGTCCCATGGGTAACATGGTCTGGAGGAGGGGAGGGACCCAGTGGCAGGTGTGGGCACACGGCGGGGCGGTCCCATGGGTTACATGGTCTGGAGGAGGGGAGGGAGCGTACGAACGTTCTGTAGAGCAGCAGAGGGGCCAGACACAGCTGTGCGGAGATCCTATGATTGGGGCTTCACTTATGGGAGTGCTGGCCCAGCCCAAACCAGAGCTCCTGAAATCTCCCGGGAGGCCTGATCCCACAACACTTCCAGCCCTACGAACGTTCTGTAGAGCAGCAGAGGGGCCAGACACAGCTGTGCGGAGATCCTATGATTGGGGCTTCACTTATGGGAGTGCTGGCCCAGCCCAAACCAGAGCTCCTGAAATCTCCCGGGAGGCCTGATCCCACAACACTTCCAGCCCGGGGCCAGGGGCCAACGACACTCTCCCCTTCAGGACCGGCTCTGGGCCTTACAGAGCTGCGGAAAGGGCAGCATGCGCTTAGCTGCTTCCCTGAATCGGGGCCACAGCTACAAACCCAAGAGGCCAGCATGGAGGGAAGTCTGGAGACTCCCTGGAGATGCTCGTGCCTGCCTGAACCAAGCAGCCCCAGGGACAGAAGGTGCCTGTTTTGAAACCACCTATTTGATCAAACATACCTGGGCTGCGTCGTGCTGAGAGGGAAAGGGCAAAGCAGCACAGAGGGTAAAGCATGATGCAGACAGGGCAGAAGGACACACAGCTACTGAGTAACTAGGGGAAGGCAGATTGGCTAGAAGAGAGAACAAACCCACCAAATAAATGCAGAGATGATGGCTGACATGCTTCTGGCGGGGGCTCATCCTTCCCTAATGTAGAGCCCAGGTTACTAGAGAAACCTGGTTTGAATTGATCACCCTTAAATTACGGCACAATTGTTAAGCAAAGATCCCTCAGAAACAGGCGAGGGCTCTGCCCAGCTGAGAGCCGGGGACGCTGAGTCAGCAGGTGTGGCGGTGCCTCGCTCGGGGTCTGTCTACACTAGCTCCTCAGTTCGAATTACCGTTTAACTGCCGCGTCTAGCCGGGGACGCTGAGTCAGCAGGTGTGACGGTGCCTCGCTCGGGGCCTGTCTACACTAGCTCCTCAGTTCGAATTACCGTTTAACTGCCGCGTCTAGCCGGGGACGCTGAGTCAGCAGGTGTGACGGTGCCTCGCTCGGGGCCTGTCTACACTAGCTCCTCAGTTCGAATTACCGTTTAACTGCCGCGTCTAGCCGGGGACGCTGAGTCAGCAGGTGTGACGGTGCCTCGCTCGGGGCCTGTCTACACTAGCTCCTCAGTTCGAATTACCGTTTAACTGCCGCGTCTAGCCGCGGGCAGTTGGTTCGGACTAAGGGGGATTTAAAAATGGCGGCGCCCGGGAACATGCAAAGGAAGGCCGGGATATTTAAACCCCAGGCTTCATTTGCAACCCCGGTTGCCCTCATTTGCCTGCCTAGCTGGAACTACCGAGCTCGTGCAGACGTCCCCTCACTGCCATGCAGAAGGTCGGGCAGAGCTGAGGCCTGAGGGCAGCGGGCTTGCAGGACAGCAGTGCTTTCACTTTCGTCAGAGGGGGTCAGAAGAGGGCTTGCAAGCAAGGGTCCCTCTAATCTTTTCCATTCATTTGTACGTGCCCCGAGGCATCCTTCAGTGGGCACCACAGCAGAAACACAGACCTAGTGCGGGCCTCTGCCCTCCCGCCGGCTCCTCTCCTGTGCTCAGCCATTTGCATCCCAGCCACGAGCAGCCACGGCAGCGGAGCGTGTTCCAGCACCGTGACCGTTGCCTGCCAGGGTCTGAACCCACAAGGGGGGGGGGTGCGGAAGCTGCATGATGCCCAGCCAGGAGTCGGTGACAGCATCTGCCTGGCCAGAGGGTAACCTAGCAACTGCCACCAGGAGCCCAAGAAGCAGGGCCAGGAGGGGACGCTGATCAGAGAGACACCCCAAGCCCAGAGCAGAGCCAGCGCGTGCTCCTGTGCCCAGCTCACCCATCCGGGCAGCATCAGAGTTCCTGCCCGGCAAGTATTTCCCTGATGCCACAATGGGCCTGATTCTGCCACTTTTGGACACTGGCCCTGGCTGTTCACTGGCAGCCATTCGGCGGCCCACCCTGGCTGTCTGCAGGGAAAGGGAAGGAGGCCGAGGAGGACGCGTGATTATCGCTGCCCCCACTAAGTCCCGGCAGCGAGGGGCTGGGTCCGATTTTCTCACAGACTTCCTGTGCGCCCTGGGGCGAGTTTCCCAGCTGTGTGCGGCTGCCTACACCGAACGCTGGGAAGTGCTTTGAGAAGAGCTAGGTACTGACTGTGTAAGAAGACCTGGCGCCACCCCCCAGCAATGGCCCCGAGCGCTGCAGCCGACAGCCACGCCTGTGCCGCACCACCCCGCCGCTACGGCACAGGGCATGCTTGGTGCTTGGAACGCTGGCTGAATGCGGCTCGATCATTGATCGCACTGCTAGAAGCAGGCACGTTTGTGCTGCCGACTTGGCTTCAGGCTCCGTGCGGCTCCGGAGCGGCCGGTCAGTGTGAAATGCCCAGGGATGCTGATCTGCTGGCTCCCCAAAGACACGTACCCAGCGGCACTCCCTGGAAGGGGCACTGCGGCAGCAGGGCTTCCTTCCTAAGAAGCATTGCTGAGTGTAGCCAGAGGAGGGTCCTGGTTTGGGTGCTGGGCCCCAGGAAATGGGTGCTCGGATTCGGTGCGAAGGAAATCCTCCGCACAGACAAGGGTGTGTGAGGCTCAGTGATGAACAGCAGCAGAGGGATCACTGGAAGCATCAGGAGGGAACAGAGAGTGACCCTGCAGAGGATGGCCCTACACTGCAGAACCCCAAGGGGTTCCCTTTGTACGCTCTCCTCTGAATTCTGTCATTATGGGGCATAAACTCTATGTCCCTGCCTTTTTTCGAGGTCCCAGTTTCAGTCAGTCTGTGGAAGAGCATAGGATGGCAGAAGTATTGGAGGGAGGCAAATATTATTTAGTCCCATTTTACAGATGGGAAAAGTGGCTGAGTCTGATTTTTTTAAAGCCTGGGTGGAAACAGCAGGACTCGAGAACACACAGATTTTCTCAGATCTTGTGGGCCCTCAAGAGACCAGAGACATCTGCATGAGGGAGGCTTCCATACTGCCTCGTGGACCCCTTTGGCTGACCCCCGTTCCCTGACTGACACGATCTCTCCTGTCAGCCTGTCCCCAGAGCTGCCTCAAAGAGAGTTCCACAGTCCAGAGGGGGCTTCCCAAGAGTTAATAAAGCCTGGAGGACATCAGTGCCCAAGTACTTTGAACAGGTAAAACAACCCGTTTACAGGCAGCTTCACAAAACGCTCCTGTTCTGAGGTATGTGCTATTTGCCATCAGCTCTGCTCAGTTCTAGTAACCTTCCCCAGCCGATCTCACCTTCTGAAGACGTCCCAGGGTGATGGGAACTCACGCTGGCGAGCCCATGAGGGTAGATGTTGTAAGGCCGGCTTGCTAGATTCTTGAACACAATCTGAAATGACAACACACAGCAAGAGCCTGAACCCCCCAGAGCCCTGTGTCTTCACACCTGGCTTTATGGTCAGTCATCTTCACACTCCTCGTGGTTCAGCTTCACAGCCCGCCTGACCGCCCCGCTCAAAATCCGGCTACAAGGTGAGCATCCCAAATTGGGGCACCGACCTGAGGATGGGAGCTGTTCTCGGCTGAAGAAGATCCCCTCCACTGGTCAGCATTGTGTCTGCCTTATCTGCATTGGCCTTAGGCACACTTGGCAGGGGCACCTCAGTCCCACCTGCTCTCTGCGTGTGGCACATAACTGGCCAGTCCTCTGTGGGCGGGGGGCTTTGGTCTCATTTCAGTTGTTGGGCTGAATGGGGAGGTGCTGGGGGGTGCTAGTGGCCCGTGATGTACCGGTGGTCAGACTAGATGGTCCAATAGGTCTTTTCTGGCCTTACATTCTATGACTCTGACTTTTTTTGAGGTCCTAGCTTCAGTCAGTCTGCAGAAGAGCATGGAAATGGCAGAATTAGGGTAGGCAAATCTTATGTAGACCCATTTTACAGATGGAAAAAATGAAGTGCAGTAGCCGAGACTAATTTTTTAAAACATGGGTGCCTATAATTGGGCCCTGAATCTGTAATAGACTTGAGTAAGTCACCTGATTCACAGAGGTGCCACGCACCTACTACTGCCATCTGCCCTGACTGCACATGTGGGTGCGCAGCGTTTCCGAACAGCCACCCACTCCGATAAACATGGAGGTAAGAGCCACTCCAGCCCCAAGTCTTTGGTCTCAGCTCCTTGCTGTCAGCTACACAGTGAATCAAACAGAACAAGTACCTGCTGGATCATAACCCACTCTCCTACCAGAAACCCAAGCAGCCAGTTAATGGAAGAGCACAGTGAGATAAGCCTCCCCCACTACTGTACACCCTAAGTTACCCGGGCAATCGGCACAGAGCTGGAGAAGACCCGAGGAAGGAAGTGCACAGATCTGACTCAGAAGAATGCGCTGGAAGTCACGTACCGTCTGGGGTTAGTACGATTACCAAGCACAACTGATTGCATTAAAGACAAATCAAAAGTGTTGGGCCAAATCCACCCCTTGTGTATTTCCATTGAATTCATCGAGGCTTTTATCTCTAGATCTCAGTAGCAGCTGAAAAAAGGGTTCCCCTCTCTGGTGAGCACAGAATCCGGGTCAGATCATAGGCATGAATAGAGAACCAGGCGGAAGAACCGTAATGAATCTTCAGAGTTTACCCTTCCTGTCCCTCCTACCAGAAAGCTATCTCTGTCTGTCTCTTACCAACAACTGATCCCCAACTTCTCCTTTAAGAACAGGCCCCAGAATTCCGGTGTCACCTTGATGTGACACCTTGCGCTTCTTAAAGGTCTCGTCCTCGTATTCCACAAACATCACCTTCTTATACTTTGAACCAATTCGCTGAGGACCAGCTTCCAGAAACTGACTTGTGTAATTTCTACAGGGGGAGTGAAAGAGAACTGCGTGAGAAAGGGGCAGGCACAGGAGCCTGATTTCTTACCATCATCACCATCGTTATTATTAATAATGGCTAGCTAATAATCTACTTGGTATCGTGGTAGTTTATATGGGCCCCAGTCACAGATCAGGCATTATAGAGAAACAGAATGAAAAGAAAGTCCTAGTCCTGAAAAACAATGAACAAAACACTACTTTCCCGCAAGCCTAAGATTAGCTTCCGTACAGGCTGTCGCGTCTGTAGGAGAGGAACCCTGAACCCCGCTGGGCCGGAGAACAATGGTGGCCGAGATACGTTGCTGGGCTAATAATGTATAAAGGCCCAGTGTAAGTTAAGGAATGGGGACAAACTGATGGCTGGGTTTTAGTGAAATGTGAAGGGGCTGGTAACCTCTATAATTACCCTATAAATACCACCAGCGACAATGTGCAGCTCTGAGAGCACACCTTCTGCGTAAGGCCAATTTCCCAACAACATGGTGTCCCCGAAATTGGCAGTGTCCTCAGCGGGTTCCCCTGTATTATGCAGGTTGAACCTCTCTAGTCCGGCACCAGAGAGTTTGCCGGACCACGGGAGGGCAGTGTTGTCTGGCAGCATCACCGACACTTCCACGGCTGGCTGGGCTCTCAGAAGACAGTACGGGGTCCATTAGAGCTAAATAATGGCACAGGACACGGAGAGCCAGGCCTGGGGGCTGGAAACAAACTGGATGGGACCGCGGGACACTTGGCCACACCCATGATATGTGGCCATCTGGCTAACTCAGACCATGCCGGACTAGAGAAGGTCAGCCTGTCCTAGGGTTGGCTTTTAGCAATAAGCTGGATTAATATTGGCTATTGGGCTCTTGAGTCTATTTCACCCCCCCGAGAGCGGCCACACGCTGGCTGCACAGATTAACAGGCAGAGGTTTGCTATGGGTGGCCTGGCCTGGCAGGAACCAGTCCCTGCAGCACAGCAGTGAGTCTGGCACTTGCCCACACGTGCTGGGGTGGATGCGTTTGTTTGGCCAACGAAGCTTCCTCTGACTGCCCTGGCAGCAAGCCTGGGCCCTGCTCTGGAAGGAGCCCCTCCCTCCATTTGCCCAGGCAGGCCTCTGCTGCCCTGCTTAGGGGTCCATCAGTGCTCGCCAGTCTGAGAGGTGGACGCGTCCTTTGGGGGCTGGGCTGAGACTCCACTGGAAAGCAGAACCCTCTGCCCAGCCACCGGGCCAGCCCCCAAATACTTGGGCCTCAAAGCAAAGCAGGCGGGTGAGTAGCACGGCCGAGCCGACGGGTGACCACTGTCCCTGCCAGGCAGTGCTGAGTAAGACACGGCTCTGAGCTCATCCGCTCATCACTGCTCCCCAGAAGGAAGTGGAGCAGCCACCGGGGCTAATCTTGTCATGTGGGCACAGACCGTCCTCTCTGGCCAGTGCCATCCCATCTCTCTGCTGCAAAGATCCGGGGGCATCTCCCCTGAACTCAGCAGAGCCACAGCCCAGGAGAAAGGGGCCCATTGCTCCCTGGTGCCCTCACAGGTGAAGGGGGTAGGGTGGCCCAGGGACTGCAGAACCCGGGTTCAGAGAAGGGTGAGGACCCCAGCACCCTTCAGAACGCTGCCTGTGCGGAAAGGCCCGTGCCCCCTGCTGCAGCAGGTCAAACAGCTCCCTTTCTCCCACCACCTGTGGCATTCCCAGCCTCTTGCTCCGGTCCGGCACGTGCTGCTCATCCCACCTGCACCCTGGGGTAGTCTGGAAAGTACTGTCAAGTACACACACACGCACACACACGCACACACCTGGTTCCACCAGGTGCCTGGCATCGGCCAGCAGCAAGGCAGGGGGCTTACAGCTCTCCCTCCCTGAGGCCAGGTGGGCACACCCCAGAGGACTGGGCGGGAGGAGGAAGAAGGAAGGGTTTGGCTGAGGTTCCGCGGTGGTGTGAAGAAGAGAAAGAAAACTCGGGGGCGGGGGCGGGGGTGGAGGCGGGAAGGAAGCAGCTGGCCACGCCTGTATCCAAGACGGGCCCATGCCCTGGCTGCACTCACATGCTCTCACCTGTCCAGAGAAGTGGGCAGGATGGGGGCGTAGTCCCAAACCACCTCCTCGGCTGCAATGTAGTGGGTCCAGGTCACGGACTCCTGCTTGGCGAAAGAGCGCAGGCCAATGGAGTGGGGAGAGTCGCTCTCGTCAAACAGGATCACTGTGCTCTCTGCATCGTAGCCCTCGTCATAACCGTCTTCCTCGGGCACGTCTTCGGCCAGCCGCATCTTCATCTTGAGCTCTTCCGGGCAGACCGCCACACTGACGTAGGCTTCCATGCCAGCTGGATTCAAGGGCCAGGAGAGCGTCAGTGCCGGTCGGTCGGTCTGTCTGTCAGCTCTGGATAATGCTTCACTAGGATCCCCGTTTCCCTGCCTCTGCATGAGATGGACCTGGGCTGTCTAGCCACACTCAGTCTCTCTTGGAGGGGCAGATGAGGAGGGGGCTAGGAGAGGAATTAGGTAGGTGGGGAGGGGAGGGCAGGGATGTATATGGACGTATGTAGAGAGGACGTAAGACAAGTGCACAGCCAACAGGCTCTGGTGCAGCCGGACAGGAGAGGCAGGTACGGCCCCACCTCTGCAAAGACACAATTCGATAGACTGACAATCGTTTACGGGGCTCTAAGACACTCGACATTGAGGCCTGGTTAGCTCCCAGGCCATTGCTGCAGCCTTCTTGCTCCTCGAAATAACACAGAAAACAAACCCGGGCCCCCGAAGTCTGCCCCAGACAGAGCTGACAACACTCTGAGTGGGCCTCTGGTGCCCGTACTGCATGGGACCGAGACCCCGGCTGCTCAGAGAGCTCCGAAGGGAAAGGAACTCAGCCCTGCTTGAAGCCTGCAGCCCGATTCGCTTTCGACATGCCTGTCTCCTGACTCTCACGCCGCTCATCCCTGTGGGACCACATCTGAGCCCCCGGGCCTAGGGCTGCCAGGTGTCCACTGTTCCACCGGCGCACCCGATCCAGGAGGGGCCCTGCGGCGGCAGCCAGCACCCGCGACCCGGCCGCAGCTAGGGCTGCCAGGTGTCCACTGTTCCACCGGCGCACCCGATCCAGGAGGGGCCCTGCGGCTGCAGCCAGCACCTGCGACCGGGCCACAGCTAGGGCTGCCAGATGATTTCAACAAACCCCAGACACGCCTGACATGACATCACAAGCTACGTGACGTCCGACTGAGAAAATACCGGCCCTTTCCACTTGCTCATGGCTATCTCCTCAATGCGTTTCCCGGGCAGAAGCTCAAACACCGGACTGTCCGCTTCCAAACCGGCCCCTGGCAGCCCCAGCCGCTACCAGTCCGTTGGGCGGGGCTAC